TGTCGCTGTGATTAAGGGTCATTGTTTACAACAACAATACCATCCGAACAAGGTGATGCAGAGTCCTACGTATCGTGTCGACCAATGCCTGCGAACGAACGCGTACACGCACAGAATGTTCCTCACGTCTCATACCTCAACGTGTCCAAGATGCTCGGTTCCATCAGAGGATGTGCAGTAGTTCGTAGGGTGACGGAGACGGCAGCGTCCCGGCGATGAACGCGTCCCAGGTAGACGGCATTGACAGTTGGGAACCGATGGTATGCGGTGTATTTTTGTTGCAAATCGGTGATGTTTGAATGTATTGGATCGCAAGAGCATGATGATGTTTGATTGTTTGATGTACGAATAGTCTACGCCTCTGTCATATCCACCGTTCCTGTTGCCTACAAGACACACGTGGGACGACACAGCTTGACAAGGCGCTCCCGCGAAGTCACAAGGAGTCGAGTTGTTTGTAGTGTACGGCAATGGTATACGTCTGTAGGATGTTGTTGTTGATGTTGCAGGATGCATACTGCTTCCTCCACTGGTTGTCGGCAGAAGCGCATGTGGCCTGTGGAGCTTTCGAAGGAAGCGGGATGCGATGCCTCCAACAAGGCGTTGGTGGCGACAAACATCCACATGTGTTCTTTGTGGTTTACATAATGCAGCAGCGATCCACGCGGGTTTTGCTGTCGTACGTGTGGCACTTGTGCTGCAATGTCGACTTCGTGAAGGAGAGAAGCACATGAACGGCCGAAGCATTGGAATGTGAATGCGTAATACGTTTGAACAGGACGATGACCATACGTCAAGATATCAGCGAGCGATCGATGGATTTCAGATGGGATCGCCATTAAACATTGCTGTTAACGTTCCTACAGCGGCCGGGAACAACTGAGTCCTTCCCCACTATCACCAAGTACACGGAAGAGCGATTTCTTGGCATATTCACGTGCGAGACGTTGCGCGGGATCGCGTGGCAAAAAAATAAAATCGCAGCCGTGTGGGTCCAGTCTAAAATCAAGTCTAACGTGGTGTCACCATCCTGTGAGTATATTCTTATTACAAGTGGCCACGGTCCAGTTGCCGTATAGATCATGAGGATGGTGAAGAAGCCGGGAGGATGGAAGCAGAAACTGTGGAAGGGGGACAAGTTCGAGCTGCTGCTGTTTGGGATTCCAAGGGGCATGACGAGGATATAGTTTAAGAACTGTTGTAACAGGGAGGGACTGCACTGCGTAGCAAGGGGATGATCGATAATTCGGGTGGCTCGATTATTTGTGGTTGGAGCTCAAAGCGGGTGGCTCATGGCGGAGCGTGGATGGGTAGAAACGTGTTGCAAAGCATAGTATTAATCGGGGGCGTGCCAGTGCTCGTCAAACCATCACGGCATCTGGTCACGCCTTCACTCTTTGTCACTCAACGAATCTCTCTGAACCTTCACCAAATACCTCTCGCAACCAAGGAATATATGTAGAAATTTCCTATTCTTCCGCATCTCATCACTGTAACTTTCGTACGTACGTACATAACATCTCAACCGTCATACTATACTACGAGTACCCCCAATATATCTAATAGCCTCCCTACTCGTATTCATCGTCATGCTCCGAGAAAAAACCAACTTCCTCTTTACCATCTCTCCAAAACAAACAAGAAAATTCTCAAAACAAACAAAAACTCCTCCAACCTTCACCAGACTCTCTCTTTTCTCTTGTCCAATCTCGTCTCTCTCTCTCTCTCTCTCTC